GGAGCAGTTGCTTGTGTGGGCTCTGAGGTCAGACTGAATGTGTTCAAATCCCAGCTCTGCCGCCTCTTACCTCTGTAGCCTTGTGCCAGTTACTTAACCTCTCTGTGGCTCAGATGCCTGGTCTATAAAATAGGATTAATGAGACCATCCACTTCCCAGGGTGGCTGTGAGAATCACATGAGATAATCTAGAGAATGCAATTAATCAAGCATTTTGGCCCAAATTAAGTGTTCAATAGTTTAGTGCTTTATAGATGCTATATATGAAACTGGTGTTTGCTAGCCTTTGGCCACAGATTTACTTTTAAACTTGCCCCTGCAGATTAAATAGAACTCCTGAAGAATTTGGATTCTCAATATGTTTCAATTTTTCCTATCTCCCCCACCCATTTCCCAACCCTCCTCGTGGCCAGACTTAGGTTTACAGTATAGGAGAGGAAAAAAGTACCCTGTTGTGTTCAGGTAGTGGGACTTGCAAATTAAACTAACAAAAGACAGATTAACAGGAGGAAAAACATACGAATTTTATTTGATGTTAATATTTAATTTTTATATATGCAGAAGCCTTCATGGAAAAGAAGTGAAAACACAAAGAAGTGGTTAGAATCAGGAGTTATATGTAATGCTTTTTTAACAACAGCTGATAATTTGCGGGAATAAGACAAAAGAAAGGAGCTTTGGACTCCTAAGAGCAGTAAATTATAGGGAGATAAATATATGGGGGAAACTAATGGAAGATAAGAGCCGTTTTAACAAGATCTAAAGGTTGTCTTTAGGAAGATTTTATGCAGACCCATCTTGATGCTGACTTTCTGTCCCCAGTGATAATAGTTGTTTTCCTCATGGCATAAAGGAGAGTAAAGGAAGAAAAATTTCACAAAGGGCAATTTATGTCCTGCTTTTAGGCAAGTGGAGGAAGGACAAAGAGCTCTTTCTGCATTTGTTTCTTCTTAATGGCCTTCAGCTCCAAATAATCGTAATATCAAATTAGCATATTTGGGGGCAGCATATTCTGATCTAGACCTTACCTTTGTAGGTCTTGCATTTGATTTTTCCAAAATATCACAGCCTCTATCACACAATGCCATGAGATTAGCAGAACAATGACGAGTATTCCAATTTTAGACAAGAGGCAACTGGAGCCCTGCAAAGTAAAGTGGCTGCTTAAAACTGTTCAGCTTGTTAGAGGGAAAGACAGGGGTACTCAAAGTCAAGTCTCCCCTTCCAGTGGTCATTTCAACCTCTTACAATATCTCTTCCGGCTTTTTTCAACCTTTTTTTTTTATCTCACAGTACACTTAAACTTGCCATGACACACTTAAACTATATTGATCAAAAAACAAGAGTAAGGAAAAGAATATACTTACTGTGCTTTGGAACTCTTTCACAAATAATGTAATTAATGATCTTTAAAAACTTTTTACAGGACACCCAAGATCCTTTCACGGCACATCAGTGTGCCACGGCACACCAGTTGAAAATCACTAATCTATGCTATTATGAATCTTTCATTCAGTTATAAGGGATCTAGCAGACTGCTTTCCCTGCCCCACAAGTTTCCAAGGTGTACAGAGCTTTCAGACTGTGTGAGAAGGAAGGAAACACCCAGTTCACGGACGAAAATCTCTCTATAGCTCTGAGGAAGCGTGAGTTGTTTTATCTTTAATATTCTGGTTGGACAATGAGATGGAGAATACATCAAGGTCTCAAGCAATGGACTATTGGAATAAATGGGGGGTAAGGGTCCTTCATCTGATCTGATCAAATTCATCTAGTGCAGTGCGGGATCCTGTCTGAGCCCAAAGTGTGACTCAGAAATATCTGGAAACTGAGGCATTCATCATTCAGCAGCAACCCAAGCCTGTTACCATGGTAACAAGGATTTAAGAGAAGGGTTTCTATATTGTTGGTCTCTAAGGAGCAAAGGCGGAGACCAGGTGGTGGGTGAGAGGATGGCAGAAAGATAGAGAAATGGGACCGAGTGACATTTGCTCTTTAGCTGTGCCCCAAGGACTGGGTGTGGAGAGAAAGTGTCTGGCATATTTTCACATGGAGTAAAATTATTTTGAAGGGATCTGTGGATTTGTGGACTTTGGATTTAGAGGGGTCAGGTATAGAGACCAGGCAGATGAATATGGAAATGAGGGCTAAAGGGTGAATCCGGAGAGGGGACCGGAGGGGTTTTGCTCTCCTAGCAGAGAAACCAGGTCGAAAAGTCTGAGCTGGGATGGGCAGATGTTGCTACCGGGAGAAGCTGAAGCCATTGTGCTAATGGGGCCCCACTGACAGGTAGAAGCAATGTTGTTTAAATGTGCAGGTGACAAAATGTGGCATAGAACTCAAAGGGGCATTTCAAACCTTCTGGGTGGACCTGCCAGTGCCTTCACCCAAAGCTGCTGGGAGAGAAGGTAGCCCCATTTAGGCCCCTCTCACATGTGCCACTGTTGAGTGCCCCAGAATCCACACTGCTCACCAGGAGGGGCCTCTGTGTCCTGAAAGCCAGAGCCACCCACCAGCAGCTGGAGTCGGGAGTAGGGACTGTCCTCAAATGGCAAGATGGGCAGCTGACTTCCACGGAGCAGGGGAGGAGTCACAGAACAACAGGAAAGGACTGTCTCAGAGCAGCTGAAATTTCTGGGGTCTTTCGCAGACAACTGGAAGAAGCTTTCAAGGAATTGGGGACCGATTAAACAAAGGTGGGGACAGAGGTCGGTGACACTTGAAATTTTCCTGCTTATGGGACCTTATTTTTCCCCACGGGCCAGTGAGGCCTGGAGAAGCTTGAAACACCATCTTATGGCAGATGAAATTATCCCAAGTGCTTGGGCATCTGATAGCCCAGCTCCATGTAAATGCTGAGTGGCTCTTGAAAGACATCTAAATATAACTTTAGGATTGGTAGAGCAGGGACTGAGTTCTGGTTGGGTATGATTAGGCTCCATTTGTTCCATTTATCTCTAGTAATGTTAGCTTGAAGGAGACGAAAGGCAAATGCAAAAGGAAAAAAGGCTAGGGAGGAAAATAAAGAAGGGTTATTGTTCTCTGCTATCATGGCTATAAGAAAATTGCCTGCATTTTTAAGACATGTTCCTTCCTATATACATTTTCCAGGCATAACTTGTGAATTCCATATTATCCTTGCGTTTTTTTCTTTCAGTAGAGGGAAAACTCGACAGTGCTTTTCCTAGCTAAGAGCGATCCAAGCTAAGCACAAACATCCAAACTCCTTGGACCAGGTGTGAACCAACAGGCCCAAAGTGGGGGTGGGGGGAAGCTGGTCCCCAGGGGCCAGACGTCTCCCTGCCTGGAATTTGTATTTCCCCTTATTGGACTCTCTTTTTCTCAAAGCAGCAGCACTGGTTATTGAGGCGACTGCAGGCAACCCACAGAGCTGGTTTCTTATGGATGGTATCATGGGGCTGCCAAATTGTCTGACAATCTTTGTTTTTCTGAGAATCATTTTCTGCTTCCTGGAATCAGAACCAATGTTCAGGGTAATGGACCAGCAGACTTGAGTCCTCAGAGAGGATTTGGTCTCAGTCCCATCTTTCCATCGCTGCTGCCACCACCCTAGATTGCATCATGTGGCCAGTCACCTGAACTATTGCAGGAGGCTAAGTTGCTCTCTGAACCCTTCCTCCATCCTGCCTCGAAACTGTTGCCGAGTGAGCTTCTAAAATATGTTTCTAATCATGTCGATCCTACTGTTTTTGAAAGACCTTTAAGTATCCCATTTGTATGAACTACTATTGAATAAATAAATTGGCCCTATTTGTATTAAATCCCCTATTATCCTGTTTCCATCTTCATAGCCTTCACCACAATTCTAATCTAACTTAAAGGTATTCTAGCTCACTGTCTGTCTCCCCCCTCCATTGGAATGGAACTTTCATATGAGCAGGTCCTTAATTGTCTGCCCCCTAAACAATGGCTGACATGTTAGATAATAAATATTGGTTGAATTAAAGACTCAATAAATCAAATTCTAGTGACCATAATGAATTCCTTTTTTCACAAATGAATTTTATTTACTTTTACGATTACAAATGTAATACATGCTTGCTGTAGACAATCTGGAAAGTACAGAGAAATAGAAAGAAGAAAATAAAAACACCCATAACCCCACCACCTGAAGGCAAACACTGATTGCGGTATGTTCTAACTCTCTATGCCTGTTTAGAGGCCAAGCCCCTCATTAAGAGTGCTGGCCATGAAGCACAATAGCCAAGAGCAGTGGGGGCAATTAACAACTGAGGGGGTTGCCCAGAGGTCAGAGCTAGAGATTCCACACTGAAGGATCAGACACGAGTCACAGATCAAGAGGTCAGAAGCCGACAACACAAGAGCAAGTTGGGTTACTGTAAGAATGTAGTGAGATGGTGCTTGGCAAGAGTTTAAGCCCACTTAGTCACATGGTACACTGTCAATTACCATTAGCCATTACTATCACTATTATTATGGCTCAAAATGAATGGTTCAGGGTGGAGACTATAAGCAGGTCAAGGGCCCTGGAGACCCATTGTAGGTGCTATGAGTTGGGATATATAGGGGGAAGTCTAGTGGATTCAAAGGATGGTATAGGAGTGGGCATCACTCTCCTTATAGGGTCCCATGCCAGGTGTAATGGAACCAAGACTTCCTCAAGTTTGCCTGCTGACACATGGCAAGACACTCTAAGGTGTTTTGAGGTAGGACATTTCTCCTGCCTAGACTTCTCCCTGGACCAAGAACTAAGACTGGCCTTGATGGTGATGGGAGTTCAGAACCTCATACACCATATGCTCTTGTAGTTCACACTCTGATTGTCAGGGCAGGTCACAGGCATGTGGGTGAAAAAGAAGGTCAAGTCAGCCAAGTGAGAGATAGGGTGGGATGTCCCTGGAGGGGGAGGCTGAAGGGTGAAGGCAACAAGGTTTATGATGTAGATGAATGGAATGGGTCCAGGATCCAGTCCCAAGATAGCAGCTGAGTCAGATATCACAGGAGAAGAGCCAAGGAGCATTACTTGTTGGTGGAGGCCTTCTGATGGCCCATGCTCTGTCCAAGGTGGTCGTGAAGACCCTCTTGGGGGTCTCTGTGCTCTTTCAGGTAGTAACAGCGTTTCGGAACATGTTGGTGCTGGGAATGAAAAGAAGGAACAGAGAGGTAAGAGCCACATTTACTATGACAAGGGTGTTCTGCCTGGTTAAGTTCAGTGACCTAGCAAATCAAGGAATCTGGCTAATTTATCTCATTCATATAAAGAATGACCAGGGCAGCGCCCGTGGCTCAGAGGAGTAGGGCGCTGGCCCCATATGCTGGTGGTGGCGGGTTCAAACCCAGCCCTAGCCAAAAAAACT